TATCCGTTTAAGTTGGACAATATGTCGGATAATGAAGGACTTACTTACCACCAGCCAAGTTGCTAAACCGCCTGTTATATGACTATCAGCATTTGTACTCAATTGATGGAGCACTCTATTGTCGCTAGACCCAGCCAAAAGTCTCTTCAGAATATTAAAATTTGTAGCGGAATTTATAAATTATCGGTATTTGTGACATGTGGTTATTTATCGGTAACTGTGACCTGTGGTTATTAAAGAGACCCTGTCAAGACTTTGACTGTGCTGAATGAGGATTTTAGCAATGTTTTATGCATTGTGATTCTGAGTTTACAGGGAATGTTTTCTCTAGAAATCAGTGGTAACTTGGATATAAGAAGTTATTCAAATGCATTTATACTGAACAATATCAACTGGGCATATTAATGTACATCATATGTGTTGTTCACATATTTGCAGAGTTCCTGAGTAATATTTGCTTGTCACATTCATAGTAGTCATTTGTGTTATTCGCTTATTTACAGTTCTCTTACAATTCACTTACATATAGTCTGCCTAATAACTAAAGGTGACGCTGAGAAATACAAATCAGTGTGTAAAGTAGAAAATTCACATGTTCATTGAAGAAACATGTGCGGTTCACATATACACAGAGCACCATTTTATATGTGCTTGGCATTTTGTACAGGTTCCTCGTACAGAACATTTGAAAATGGAACTAGAAAATATTAAGTTCAATATACTACCACTCAGCCACTAGATCTGTGCTGAAAGTTTTATTTTTTCTTTTTTTTTCAATTATAGATTGCTTTTAGATTTTCGCAGTTCATTGCTAGGCAGTCTATGATAGCTTTAAATTTGTTTCCGTGGTGGTTTACACTTTTGGGGTTGTTTCAGCCATACCTGAACATTTTCAGCTGTATACGGTCAGAAATGTAGGTCTTTGGTTACTTCGCACTCGAACATGTAGAGATCGATGGTACCTGTTGAGCCGCGTATGCATAAATCTGTGTAGTGCAACCCGAAGCGAAACAGATAGGCTGCAAAAGGGCCATGCGCCGTCAGAAAATACGTCATTGCTCTGCCTGTAGTGGTTAATTACCTTGACGGCATCGAGAGAAGTTAAATGTCCTCCTGTCAGTTAGCTCTATCTGCGTTCCTTGTGGGGCTCCGAGATTATCAAAAGTTGGTGCAGGCTCGACCGACACCTCTTCTGTTAGGAGGTGTTGGCTCGACCCACCTAACCAAACAAGTTTATCTCATGATCATAACAGGCCACGCCCAATTCAACAAAGGAAAATATTTCAATGATTTCAATATTTCATTGATGAACAAAGGAAAAAAAAAATTCAGTGATTGGCGCCGGGGATGTTGCACTAAAAAGCTGCGGGATCCGAACAATACCCGATTAATCTATATAAGCTGCCCGGGTGTCAGGACCCGCTTTCACCTGTCACCTGCCTGTTAGGTCTTGTGTCCAGTTAGTTTTTATAATGAAGGTCTGACAAAAGGTCTTTCAAAACTGCTCACAAATCGTGTTCAGTTTGAATTTGAAAACAATACTAGTGTACGGCAATGAATATGTTCTCAAAACGTAGTGAAAAAGCAGTAATTGTGCTCATCCCATGACACATACTTATGCGAGTCTATATTTAATGTCCTTTTGTCAATCAAAACAAAATTCAGAAATCACTTCGATGCCCAAGCAGATACGAGAATTTCTATTAACCGCAAATTACCATAATTTCACAATTTCTTATCCCATAAATAAGTCATTAATTTATTTTGAAAGATTTATGCAAATGTTAATTTTAGTAATTATTTTGTTATTTCCATGTTTCTATGCTTTGTTTATTATTAAAATTTGATTATACAACTTTCTATTCTCTCTCTTTTTTTTTTTTTTTTTTTTTTTTTTAGAAAAAACTGCTTTAGGGAGCGTAAGAATGTGTTAAAATTTTCTACAGGTGCGGCACATGGAAAAGTTTGTGAACCTATGGTTTACACATCGCACATTCGTATCTGCGTGTATATTTTAAGTTGTTTTAAATTCTAAAGCTGAAAGCACTGCGGATACACAAATAAGCTTAAAGCACTGCGGATATACAAAGAGGGGAAATATGCGGGTATATGCAGTAACATTACATATCTTTTACTTCACATCTTGTATTCATTTCTTTTTAAGAATATCATTTTTTTCGTTGTATTTTTTACTTTCATTTAAGTATTCATATGAGTAGAAGCTTAAGAAAACAGCACAAATTTACACTAAAAATTATTCCTGATGAAATCTGGCCTGTTACAGGTTAAATCAACGATGATAGATTTTTAATTGGGTCTCACAATGTTTACTATCGCATCCACTGGAAGAGATTCCAATGTAATTCTGAAAACAAAGTAGTGAACAAATGAATACATTATTTCAAGAAAAATATAATTATAAAAAAGGCTTTTAGACAATAAGCTTTTATTTAAAATACATCTGATAACTTATGCATTAAAATCAGAAAAATAATTTATCATGTGGTTTAATGGTAAGAATTAAAAGTTAAAGATAAACTTCTTTAACGCCGCGGCGCCGCGCAATGAATTGGAAGTTGATGTGAATTGGAAGTTGATGTGCCCTGAAATTTTATTTTCAGGGCAGATGTTTTTATTTTATTTGGCTTATAATTCCTTATTAAATGTAGTATTTCATCTCGATGTACTCCATCTTTGATTTAAATCAAATTCCTCGTCATTATAATTCGCTTCTGATAGCGAAGAAAGTGACAGAGGTTATTGAAAACGAAAGACAAATTAGTCGGTATTCTCGACACAACAATTATAGAACTTGAACAGCGAAACTTTGTAACTGAACAAGAAATTATGTCTGTTTAAAGAATTAAAGAGAATGTATTATCACATAAAAAACGAAGCAACTTAAACAACTTACATTGGAAGAAATGTTTAATAAAGTAAACAAATAAATATTAAGCTTTTTTTTTTTTTTTTTTTTTTTTTTTTTTTTGTAAATTTTGATACCCTTTAGATCATAATTGTTCTTTATTTCATAAATTACGGTTTCATATTTTTAATTTTATAATTTCTGCATGCCATCTTACCAGATTTAAACTGATGATCTATAATCCGGAAAAATCGATAATCCGGAATCGCCAAGTCCCGACGAGTCCGGATTAACGACTTTTGACTGTAAAGAAAAATAATTGAACGTCATTCAGAGAAGGAAGGAATCACTTTGAAATTCAGTTTCGAATATTGAATGTAATAACAATGCTACACCGAGAATTTCATTTGATGTTTGTTGTATCATAAATTATAATACGACGTTTAGCTTAAGAGAGCTTCTCCTGACGCATGCGCCGTTCGCGTTTATCCGCGCGGTGATGATGACGTAACTGTTTATTACGTATGTATGTATATGTATATCATTCTTACTTCTTCGCCTTTTTTCTCTGCTGTACGCAACTATGTTTAAGTTAATTTTTGTCATTAAAAATGTTCATTGATATTACAATCTATTTAGGCTTATTTATTTCTTCAATGGTTATGGGCCCAAGAACGTTTCAACTGTGCCTAATTAGCAAAATACTTATTTTAAGAATGAACATTTGAAGTTTTCGAGCATTGAACTCTTAAGCCTAATTCAGTGCAAGAACTGTTACGTCTAATCAACGGTAAGAACTGATCAGCGTTCAGTTAAGATTATTTTTATAGCGCTCAATCTTGGTTTTTGGCTGTGAGAGACTGTATTACATTATGTCGCATTTGACTACTATAGAAAAGCTCGGAAAAGATAATTTTGACAGTTGGAAATTACAAATAGAAGCAGTATTGATTAAAAACGACCATTGGGATTATGTAACCGGTAAAGCGCTAAAACCTGCTGAAGGAACCGAAGACGAAAAGAAATGGCTCCAAGCTGATCAAAAACCTCGCGCAGATATAATTCTTGCTATTAATCCTAGCGAACTGTGTCATATAAAGCATTGTGTGACATCAAATGCTGTGTGGAATAAAGTCAAATCCGTATATGAATCGAAAGGACCTGCGAAGAAGGCTACATTATTAAAACAGCTTTTATTTAGAAAAATGGTGGAAAGCGAAACGATGTCTGAACATTTGAATAATTTCTTCGAAATAGTTGATAAGCTTAAACAAATGGAAATTCACAAAGCTGATGATTTATTATCGATTCTTCTGCTCTATAGTATAGTATTCCAGAAAATTTTGAAAATTTTAGATGCGCCATCGAATCAAGAGATCAGTTACCTAGTCCCGAATCTTTGAAAATCAAAATGTTAGAAGAATGGGAAGCAAGAAAAGGGAAATCATCTCAAGATTCACAGAATGCATACTATACTGATTATAAAAGACGAAACCAAGAATAGAAGAAAAATGAAAAATGGAAGGTAAATTCAAACAAAAATTTTCTTGCAAGAAATTTTCGAAATTTGAAGTGTAATTACTGTTCGAAAATTGGGCACAAGGCATCTGAATGCAGAAAGAAAATAGCTGATAGAAAATATGCGCAATCAAATAAGGGAAATCAAGGTTCTATGATGGCTTCTAATTATGAAGAGCAGATTAGTTTAGCAGTAAACAATGCTTATCAGAAGACCTTCCTCATGGTGCTTAGATAGTGGCTGTACATCTCACATGTGCAATGACAGAATGTTTATTTTCAGAATTTCACCCTCGAACGAATTCAACCATAAAGTTAGCAGTTGACACAAACAGCAAAAATTACAGGAATTGGAACTGTCCTTATACGGAACAGTACCTAACGGAAATAAGACAATTAAACTTACGCTCAAAAATGTGTTATGTGTTCCGGAATTAAAATGTAATTTGCTGTCAACATCTAAAGCTACTGCAAATAATCGTTCAGTGATTTTTACAGAACAACATGCTAGAATAATAGAACCAATTAAATAAAAATTTATAATTAAAAAACATCAAATTAAATATATTCCAGATTTATTACTCAGTCTCAATAAAATACATGAATACAATTACTGTGCAACTTTAACGGATAGATTAATCACATAAATAAAACTGAGTATATTTGAACCTACACAAGGATCAATTATAATCTGATAAAAACGCTTTTTTCCTTAGACCAATAAAAATTATTAAAATGTATTTTGTCGATTTCATAAAGGCCTTAATATTTTTTGAAAGAAAAGTAACATATATTACCATTTAGTGTAAAGTACGTCTGGTGTAATTTAATGTCATTCAGTGCAGAACATTGTAGAGTGGAAGGAATATAATCTTGAGACATCAACCTCGGTACAGGTCCTGTTATAACCAGTAGAAATTCGAAGACCTTCCTCCCGAAACTCATATTTTTGAATAAGCTTCAGACAATAAGGATTTTTATCGGGAAATTGAATTTGAATTCCATCAGTTATTTCCGAAAATTTTACATCGGACAGTAAAGAAACTAATAACAACTCTGCAATATATTCTGAGTCAGCGTAGAATGGAGAAATCATCCAAACTCCTAACACGGTTGGTCTTAAACATAAATAACCTACAACTCTTTCGTTAATTACTGCGATTTTCGTCTTGCAGGAACGCCAGGACAGAGTCTGAGCAACTATAAAAGACCTATCATAACCATGAAACAGGCGGTCATAATTTACTACTTTATTTAGTAAATTTTCGATGGATCTTCCAAATTTCGGGGTATTTTTCCATTCTTCAACTATAATATTTTCAACAGTGTCTATATAAGAAATTTCCGGGTCTTTCGAAGCATGCTGACTTGAGTTTTGTGCAAGATTACGTTTCAAATCACGAATGACTGCTAGCAGTTCAGCGTTTCTTAGCCGTACTCCTTTACCCATCAATGAAACGATTCCAATACTATCAAGATTCAGTTTGGGTAAAATTAGAGAACTTCCAGAACATTTGTAGAAGCAAATGACATAGTTTGGTTGGCGGACGAAGCCCCGCTTATCTGTATACAGACTAAACATATTCTCTAATCCTCGAACGCCGATATTTCGACCTTCTAGATGTTTCATGGCCTTATTCCATAACTGTGTTCCGATTCCGCGACCTCTGTATTCTTCTCTCACCATGTAGAATCCCATAAAACCACGACCTGGTCCATAAGCCATACCTGAACATGTACCAACAATCTGCTTAAGCTGGATGTTCTCAGCAACAACTATAGCTTGAGAGTCCAATGTCATCCAAGAAAAAAGTTCATCTTCAAACGTTACGTAACGACCAATGATTCGAGCTAGCTCAAGGATACCTGGAACATCTGTGAGGATAGCATTACGGATGGAAATCTGAGACATTGCCGTTGTTTGCTTCAAGAATCTACGAGAAATAAAAAAATATATATATATATATATATATATGAAATAAGATATAGGTATTCATTATAAAGATAATTTTCTTGTACATATAAAGTTCAGAGAGTTTTCTATCATATTCTATTTTGTTTTATGTTATTCAAAATTATATTATTCGAGATTAAAGAATTAGGTAGCGTTGAGGTAAGATTTGGAGCTTTGAAGTGCAAGGCATTGAAAACCCTAGAATTCAAAATTCCAAATCCATACAAAATTTGTTTCCAATAAGTGGGACAACAAGCATTCTTGACTAATAATTTCATAGCGTAATATTAAAATATTATAGTGTGAATGCATCTGAGATATGTTATTTCGAAATACTTTTATGTATTCTTAATCGTATTCACAGTGGACTAGGACGAAGAATTACATTCATGATATCAACAAAGAAAGAATATCTAAAAATTGAATATAAACAAAAGATGCTGAATTAAAGCCAGCACATGTGATAAGAATTCGTTTTCATTAAAAACTATAAAGTGAGATTTAGAAAAGAAAAACTGTCGATAACACAGCAAAATCCAAACGATTATGTCGCCCATTTGGTGACAAAATTGGCGATATACAATGGACGGTTGGAGAACCTTCTGGAAGGAATTCTTACCGGTTTAGCACAGAATGTTCTCGAACACAGACCGAAAGCTATATAAACCCTGCTGGTCCTCAGTCAGTTGGTGTGTCTCAGTGTGTGTGCCTCGTCTAGCGAGCTGATAGTCAGTCATTGAGCGAGTGTCTCGAAGTCCAGCACCGAGGTGGTCGTCGAGTGCATCGAGAGAGTATTTTAGTGTATCGCAAATTAGTACATCGTCGAGTTTTGTCTTAGACAGTGCTGAGTCGAGAGCTATACTCTTGTGTATCATCGAATGCATCGTGTGGAGAGTCTCGAGAGTACGTGGAGTTCTGAGAACAACCAAGCAGGGAGCTGCACTCGGGTGCTTTGCAGTGAAGCTGTCTCCACCGTTATTGCCTGACAGTGTGAAGGCTGTGTCACTGATTGTTCCAACGTGTTTATAGTAGATCTCCGACGACTGTAAAAACTATTATTGAAGCTGCCTGATTAACATTGGCTAAATGAAGTGTGTTTCGATACTTCATCAAGTGTCGTCGTTATTCTCTCCAAATCCACAAACCCCGTACGAACGTGAACGAAGAAAATAAAGTAACAACTGGTGTCAGAAAAGGAAAAACGTAACAATATAGACACGTTTTAATAAAAACAATAACGTTGCAAGCATTTTAATATACAGCAGTTAGATACATAACATAAAATAAATAGCAAAATTAATAAGAAATGCCACTTTCTTAAGCAAATATTCATTAATTAAATTTGAAAAGTAAATCAAACATCTTAGCTTTTCCTAAATGGCATTACTATGAAAAGTGGTTAAGAGTATGGCGATTAACCAGTAAATTAAAAACCGCATGTTTTTCTTTGTGACAAAATTTAACTAAACAAAAATTACATAATAATACGCCGAACAAATATTAACTTAGAAGTCAAACGACAAAAATCAGCGTTATATTTTCAAATTTTCACAGGACTAGTTTCGATGATTTTACCGAACCATCATCCTCAGCTGCAAAAGCTCAAACGCACTTTTGCAGCTGACTGCTTTTGTAGCTGCAAAACCATCGAAACTAGTGCTGTGAAAATTTCAAATATCACGCTTATTTTTGTTGTTTGACTTCTAAATTAAACAAAAGGATATTATGTACATAGTAGCATAGCTTAACATAATGAGGATATGGTACAAAAACTGCGCAAAAATTATTTTAAAGATATATCTGTCATCAAAAGAGGAAATACTTAAATAATTTAAACCAAGAAAACGAAGGGTTAAAGTGTTCTGGGAAGAAGCAAGAGACCTACAAGCGTCCCAGACATAGTCTATAAGGTTTAGGCTTGGAGATCCGGCTTGTCGATCCATCCGGTTAATATCCTCACTTTCCAAAAAATAATCTACTAGATTCGCTCTATATTCACGAGCCTTGCCGTCTATAAAATCAACTGGGGGTCAATCAAACCCCTGATAAGGCGAACATAGAGCTCCATGATCTTTCCTACTGTAAAGTTGCCAAAGTTGCCAAGCACTGATATGGGACTCTTAAACGCTGAGTAAATAAAACATGAAAAACGTATGTAAGTACAGGTTTACTTTACTTCGATAAAAAATTAACAAAGCAATCTAATGAAATTAACACGTAGAATAAAAAAATATTTGCTATTCGAAGTCTTTCTAGCCCAGTCAAATCGATTTTACTGATTACATAATTGTATCATTTTCTTCTTTTACATAATTATAAAACTGCAAATTGCTTGCAAGTCATTTTAAAATTATAATGACAAATCAAAACTACTTCAGGTGTTTACATTAAAAACTCGATTTTTTATTCTGGCCATTGAATTGACATTAAAGAATATATTCTCTCCACATCTGTATTGTGGGCTGAAATGGCAAATATGGATTCTTACAGCTTTATTGTGCATGTCTTCTGATCAATATACTTTGTATTTGAAAATAACTTCAGCCCAATCTCACAAATGCTTCTCAGTTTTTGTTGATATTGTTTATCTCTAAATATTTTCTTAGATATACAGATTGGTTGAATAGAATCTCCAGTATTGCCAATATTGATGCTTCTTAGTTGTAATTACGTAATAGCACGTTGTGTTTCTTCCCATTCAGGAACTTTTTGAAAGTTCTCCATTTGAACGCATTGAAAAGTTTGGAGTGATTGTGATCCATATATTTCCCAATATTATTAAAGAAATCGATAGTCTTTGGTGCTGCTTTTGGAATTAAGCTTTAAGAGATTCAAGACCATACATTACCATTCCAAACAAACTGGGCTTTTTTTTCTTTCTATCATATTCTATTTTGTTTCCAATAATACAGACCTTTTTTTTCCAGAACTGCGGTGCTTGATTTTCTATTTTCTTAATTTGAGATTCAAACTTATTGATATATGTGGAACAATGATAAGCCTTATCATTGGATCATCCAAAAAACCTTTAATAACTTTTGGCGGGCTCACTTCGCTGGCGAAGGTATCTTTTAATGGATTGCCATAGTTAAAAACAGTCCTTCGATTGCGTATAAAGGCAATACCCATCTATTCCCAACGCAGGATAATAAGTTTTTGTCAACTACAGCAACATATCCACTCCGTAAACGGGTCGCAAATGGGACAAATAATTATACGGGACTACATAGGGAAATACGAGGAATGTCCCGTATATACTGACCACTTTACCTTATAACCCTCAGAAAGCCCCTATTCAAAGAACTGAAAGGCCGAACGTTATTGAAACATAATGTCGGCTTAAACATCTACTGCCAGGCTCACTCCTTTCTCGGGGTTACCCACGAGAAAAGCGTTAAGTCGCTGAACACTGATAGTTCGGTCCGAGCTTCGAATCCCGCAAACGGGGTGGCTGCATAGGCATTTGCTCCACGTGTAACATGTATACGAGTCAGTTTTCCTTCGTAAGTCCTCCGCGAAAGCATCCCTTTCCTTAGACAGGCTCGAGGCTTTGCCGTAATCACATAAACTAAACCAAACATCTTTCTTGGGTGTGGGGGGAGATAGGAAGTCGGTCTCTGGTTCTCTGTAGAGACCTACTTCCAAAACGGCAGAATTCTGTTATGTGCTATTTCTCCCGCCGTCTTTGCATGTCTTTGGTGTAGTGGTCAGCACTTTCGGCGCGTATTCGAGACGTCCATGGTTCGAGTGCCGGCGAGGGCATTGCTCATTTTTCATCTCTCCTGCTTCGAAATAATCTTATGTTTCTACACTGTGATTAGGCAAAATTAGCACTCACGAGCGTGCTTTCCCACTTATCTTTGGTCCAAAGTCAATATTCTTTGCGTTAACGCTAATGTTTCTTGTCGGCAGAAATGAAAGAAATGCAAATAAACGAGATGGTTGACGAGTGTCCATACTAATTTCAATAAACTGTCCATCAGTTTTGAAGATAATGAACCAAATGTTAAGATTTTCTTAATTTGAACACCAATATATGATGACGGATTAATAGATGATAATGATTATTTGATTTATGTATCTACATATCATAAATATTAGGAACACTTTCTGCTATTCTCTTTTGTGTAAACTGATTTATTCTTATGTATGTTCGGTTACCTAGTTGCCGATTGTACAGTTTATTTTAATCAAGTTGCATACAAAATTATGTTAAAATTAACGATCAGTACTAATTAATGAGTAACAATTAATGTCTACCCGCTCGCGGGAAAAGAGAAAACCTAGCAATGTTAACCTAGCAACGTGGGTGGCCGCCCTAGAAAGAGTTCACTGAATTTTGGATCCAAGATTTAAAAACCTCTTCTTCGATCAGCGTCAAGTTATACAGAAAAGGTTAAAAATACTTATTCTCACTAACGAAGAAGCGAACATCTCATTAACGAAATTTCTATACAAAAATTTTACAATTTCTGAAAAGTCAAATGTTTAAATCTCCAGAGAAAAAATTTCAAAATATTTTATTATTTTGCGAAATCAACAAATTTCTGTCGAAAAAGAGTTCTTGTTTTGCTGATTTTAAAGCTATTTCGTCATGAAATTAAAAGAACTTTAAAATTGTCATTAAAATATTGAAATTTTTCTTTTTACCTCCTTGTACAAAGTAAAGGAGGTAATGTTATCGCGAAAAAATTAGGGTATCATATTTCAACGGAAATATCTATTTTGACCGTTCCTGAATCCATTTGGATGATATTTTTTGCGTGACGTCTGTACGTACTCACAAAATAAAGGGATTTTTTTTTCCAAAAAGGATTCAGAAAGTAATACTTCATCAGGAAAAATTGAGGAAAATTGAAGTGACAGAATCATGAAAATTAGCTTGACGAACTTTGCGTACGTACATACGTACCTATGTACCTAACTCAGAAACACCGTAGAATGTTGAAATTATGTACATTGGACTGCTATAGCATCTAGCTGTGTACCTCCCTTAATAAAATCAACCGTTTATCAAAACCGAAACAACGAATTCAAATGAATACAATATCATTATAAAATAATAGTTTAATAAAATCAACGCTACCGCTTATCAAAATCAAATAGCTTTTAAAATCGTTAAGTCAAAACCCCAAGTTTGTGTTTTATGTTTTGTGATTTCGTTCAAATCAGTTCATTTTCGCACGCACAGGTGCAAATGCTAGAAAAAAACGTAAAGGAGAATCTGTATATAAATTGTCTTATTTTGCTCACACAGTTCCGTTCAGTTCACCCATCTACATCGTGCTTTTGTTGTTTGGTCGTGTTTCAAAATGCCCAAACGCATAAACCGAAGCAATATGATGCTTTACCAAAATGCAGCCAACGGGAAGCATCTGTACAACTCGGAATTTCACAATCTGCCTTATGGGGTAAGAAGGGAGCGAACTTTGGATGAATTGATGGCAAATGCAAATGTCGCACATAAGCGGAAGCGAAGTGGAAAGTGTACCGATGTAGAAACTGCTCTCTTGAAGTGGTTTCCAAATACCAGAAACAAGAATGCCCGCAATATCCCGAGAAATCCCGTATCAAAAAGGCAACAGAAATCACAAAAGTGTTGGTTATATAAAAGCATTTAAGAGTCATTACAGGAAGCAAGTGGTTCAAAATGTTATTAATGAAACTAATGCGAATGACGTAGTTTGTTCTTCTAGGGGAACTGTTAAGTCGATTTCTCTTTTTGATGCCATGAATGTTATTTTAAATGCGTGCGATGAAGTAACTTCGGAAACGATTTCATACTGCTTTAAAAAAACCGGCTTCCGTTCAAAGCAAATTTCTGGAAACTCTCAAGATGTGCCAGAAGACAAGGGTGATGATGAAGAAATGCATGATGAGACTTTCCTCTAATATTTGTAATAGATAAAATTATCCAGAATTACCACGATAAGAGCGAAGAAGAGAAAATGATATCAGAGAAAACAAAGGGATTAATGAAAATGATTCCCAAGATAAAATTCCTGATCCTGTACCAGAAGCAGCAGAGTCTCGAGAAGCATTAAAATTTTTTAGAAGAACGCTCGAATTTAAAGGTGGAGATACGGAAAGTTACAAGCAATGTCGTGTCTTGGAGACCACCTTTGAAAAGCTGCTAACAAGAAATATGCAACAAACTCGAATGGATAAATTTTTAAATAACATTTAACATTCTTACATATTCTATTGATCTGTTTACCATGTTGAAATCATTAGAGTTTTCAAAATTAAGGCGGCTTTTGTCACCCACCGAAAAAAATACAAAGAAAATTTTATAAAACAAGTGTATGTAACTTACATATTAAACAGCATATCGAAAAAGAGTATTAATTTCAACAGCAAAGCCTTATGCAAGGAGAGAAAGGTTCAGGTGTCTGCACATTTATTCATATTCATAAACATTTACTGAAATCTTATATAAAATAAGTCTATTTTTAGCCCAAAGGAACGTTAGCTGAAAATAATTCGTTTATTATTTAATTAATTTCGTTTTGGCATTTTGCGACCATTCGTTCTAAATGTTCGTATCACTTTTCAAACTGTTCCCACCACATATTATCGCCCTGTGTTACAGTTAAAGAAATTAAATAATGAGGAATCTGCATAAATGTATATATTTTCTCTCATTGTGATAAAACAACGGTACCTAGAGCCATAAAATTTTGAATGACGTAATCCTACTGCGAATATGGGGCATCTGAAAGCCCAAATTTGAAATCTGGAATTTGTTTTACTATCGATTTCATATTTTGTAAAACTTTAACGAATTTTTGACTACAAAGTCCATGATTTCAAAGCGAGCAATGGCAACACTGTACAAAACAAAATTATCTCCAACGCTCGAGACTGTGTATCGCAAATTTTAAAGATATGCTCATTCTAAAGTTATTTTGCGATACTGCTGTTGAATTGAATTTTATAATTTAAGTGGGAAGAACATGATATTTAATAAATAAAGATAACACAAGAACTGTTAAAAAAAAAAACCTTGGGTGTAATATATAATCCGAAAACTTTCATATTTTTTTTAATATTTTTTTTTATATTCCTCCCCTTCTAGAATATCCGACCTCGTATCCCTAACCGAAACGAAATTCTGCGTGCGCTCACCATAGTCATATACATTCCGATTCATGTTTTGGTAAAGTCAAATAAAAAAAGTAATTATTTAAACAAATTAAGAAATCTAACTTTTAATGCGGTCTTCGGGTTCGGTCTTTGTGTGTGTGTGTGTGAAGGCTATAACTTAGAAGTTATTGCAGAATGGTGAATGATTTAAAGTTATAGATGTTAGGTTCTATGTTCTGACCCATAATCAAGTTGTTGGAAATATCAGGATTACATTTAGGAAGATCCTGGTGATAATGAAGATGATGGAGAAGAAGAAGAAACTGCAATTGCATTATCTGTTCTGAAACTTACGATGCACTTCACTATATTTACATGGAATGTTACGAAGAGCAAGCCGATTTTGATCCAAATTTAAAAACATTCGCCTTACCAAATGCTAAACAAAGTCAAACAGAACTGCATAAACTCCTATTTTAAACTTCCTATACTAATTTATATTATTTTTACTAAATTGATTTAAAAATGTGATTGGATGTCTTGTCCGATACTTAATTATTATCAGACAATAAAAGTACTGTTAACAATTTCACAATGGGACACTCGTGGGATCATTTTTTAAAATCTCAATTATCCAAAATCCTTCTGTGTTTTAATTAGTTCCGATAATTGAGGTTTTAGTACTGTTTTATGTGAAAAATAAATGTCAGTGCAAACATTTCTCTTGTCTTTCTCAAACATATCGATAATCGCATTATTTTCGATAACTTAAGAATATTTAGGAAAGCTTGTTAGAATAAATAATTATTTAATAAATAAACAAATCATAAAAGGTGAAAACATATAAAATGTTCATTCCTGAGCAGAACTGTTAAGAAGAAAATCTGTCTATGCTCCAATCAACGAAAAAATTTTATATTGAACAAACATTTACGAGTAATCCGCATAGAAAGTGATTTTTTAAAAAATTGAAATATTGCACTGAAATATCCGAAAGTATAATTTTGCATATCAACATTATTCACGTTACGATAAGGCAAATCAAATAAAACTTATAATTTTACAGCACTAAATTAAGACTATTGGAAATGTAATTTTATTTCGTTATCGATGAGGTATTTTTCTTCTGATGATAGATCAGTCCTGATTCTGTAAGTTAGTACTGCGAGAGAGCTATGCTTATGCTAAAATTAGATGCCTTCTTACTCCGATCTCTAAAATGAGAGTTTTACATCATTCATTGTATGCGAAGTACTTTAAAGCTTTTGACTCGAAAGTATCTTTAATCATTCAATTATTTTCGTATCACGCAATTTACTGGTAGTACACCGAAATTGCACGCACAGCGAATGCGTGATATGAAAAAACAAATAAATAAATAAATAATATCTGAAAGGTTTTAGATATTAAATTACGTCCAAAGGGGCGTTTTTTTTAACGTTTTTGTGTTACATTTATTTATTAAATATCATGTTCTTTGCACTTAAACCTTAAAATTCAGTTCAACAGAAATGTCGCAAATTAATTTTAAAATGTGCATATCTTTGATTGCCGAACTATTTGGAGAAAAAAAGGCCCCCCCCCCTCGTTGTCGTTGCTCGCTTTATAATCGTTGAGTTTGTTAATCAAAACTCACGAACCAGAACACATTTAACACAATTTAAACATTTTAATCAAACAAAGCATAAAGGAAAGAAAGAAAAAGAAAGAATAATTATAAAAAAAAAAAAGAAGAAAGAAAGAAACTATAGAAAAAATCTGAAATTTCAGATTTACTTACGCCCAAGGTTTTTTTTTTTAACATTTTATGTTCCTTTATTATTAAATCATGTCTTCGCACTTAAACCATAAATCAGTTCACAGCATATCACAAAATATTACAAAAGATACCTTTAAATTTCTGACACACAGCTCGCGCGCTGAGATAAAATGTTTTTTTTTTTCGTACAGTGTTGCATTGCCGCTTGAATCGTTAAATTTTTAGTCAGATTCGTAAAGTTTACAAAATATGAATTGTTACTAAAACAAATTATAAATATGGCTTCCGATGCCCATATCCGGAGGCGGTACGTTATAAAATTGACGGCTTACTACATTTGTTTATTACAATGCAAGAAACATACATACATTTATGCAGATTCTTCATTATTTAATTTCTTTAAATGTAACACAGGACGATAATATTTGGCGGCAGCAGTTTGAAATGTGATACACCTTTTTAAAGTTTTCGACGTAAAATGACAAAACAAAATTAATAGCCCTTCTGGACAACGCCCTTTGGGCTAAAAATAAAGAAATTTTGTACTCAACGAATATTTATCAAACCATACATTAACAACAATTAATTTGCATTAATTATCTACCTGATGTCTGAAGGTTGACCAGCGAGAAATTTCTGTTGATTATACTTAATAAATAATTCAAACCCTTTTATAACTTAAATATTGAACTGCAGACTGTATTTATTTCTGGTGATTCTAATATGCGGAATTCATCACTTAATAACATACTTTCACGTTAACCAGAAATTTCACAATTATGAAGCGTCAACAGCTGTCAGCTGGTGACGCTTCATGCTGAATCACAATCAGCTGAATTCACAATCAGCTGAATTTTATGACTGTTTCAACATGGGAATTTCTACCTTATCCCAGTCGCCTGACCTCCCGTACAAGACAGTAATAAAGCCCCCTTCTGCTCATTCTAACTTTTTTTTTTCACAGCAGTCGTGCACATAAACTCACCATAGCCTTATGTCTCTAAAACTATAAGCACGTATTTTCAAAAAATACATAATTAAAATGTATTTGCAAGTCGCATAAAATTGCTTCGGGGCTGCGTGAGGCTCGCAGGCTGAGTGTTTGAAACCACTGATATAATTGACTATTTGAAAACATTTAAGATCACACTGTAAAATAAAATTTACTATAGGAAGAAAATTAATCAGCAATAATAAAGTATCTTCTCTATATGTCTTCAGTAAATAGGTTTTTCCAATCGAAATTTTGTTTCTCGTATGGAAACACACCACATTGTTAAGAATAAGGTTTCGTGGCTTCCGTGCAGGTTACGAAGTCGCTGAACCGCCAACATGAAAAAGCATATAAGGACCCGACAGAAAAACAAAGAAAATGGCTGATTAGATTTCTCGTTCTAATACCTGCCAATTACAGTAATTTCAATGAACTCAACTGAAACACATCTGAAAAATTATTTTATGAAACTTTGCAATAAAATTTATCAAAGATGGGAGTCTAGTAGTATCGTATTATATACCTCACACCGGGAAAGCCAGGGTAACAGTAATTCGTCGGTAACACAGAAGAATATCATTCTTCAGGAGAACAATTCCTAAAGTATAAACAATCTCATGAACACCTGAGTTTTTACCAAAATTATATGCGAAGTAAAAAAAAGTAAATTTCTATGCTAAGTAGATATATTACGCAGATTTACGTAAATTTTCACTCAAAATATACAAAATACACAAACGGGAAGATGTACCTATATAACGACAAATAGACTTAAATTGTTTAAAAATATAAATAAATCCTTGCAATTTGCATATATTATACGTAAAAGCTACGAATAAAGCGCAATCTTTCTCATGAATTAGCTTACTATTATTATTATTATTTTATTATGAATGATTATCTAAATTTGATGTATATCTTACGTAAAATAAGCTTAAAATCTATGTAAATAACTGTTATTTTTTTCGGACACTTTTTATGATATTTCTACGTTCAACATATACGTTTTTTATACTTACATTTTGAACATTCGTAAGAGATTCGTTGATGAGACATTCGTAAATTGCACATACGTATTTTTCATGTATAGTTTACGAATGCATGCTACCTGGGATGTGTGAAGCGTACTTACTTGCGAACTAACACTGTTATCTAAGGCGCAGCAACTATACCAACGTTCAATAATTCCATTCGATAATAGTTGAACATGCAGCAAAAGCTGGACAACAGATTTTTCCTGCCTTACATCCCATCTTGCAGCTGTCTTCCCACAGGTGCTCATCTGGTGTTACTTTAACAAGGATGAACTGGACTTCGCAACGGTCAGATGGATTACGGGGGAAATCCATAGGTTACAGATCCATAGATTACAGATTCAAAAAGAAAACTGCCGTTTTAGTTTATAGTTTAGTTCCGCCTACCACGAATTTTAAGAGAGACCAGGCCATAAATTTTCTTTTCAGACACTGTATGTTACCAATCCTCCTCTGATGCAGCTGGGTTTTGAGAGTCTGTATGGATGGGCATATACGAAGTATTGCTTTACAGGAAATTTAACTACGCTATTATATGGTAAAGCTCTTCTGAGTAATACGTATTTTAATATTCATGAGCAGCTCATACTAGGTAATTAAATGGAATTATTTAAGTATTGTGATGTAGCCGTTCCTCAATAGACACAAATGCCGGCTAGCTTTAAAAGGATTTATTAACAGAGCACACAGGAACGGTTACAAACAAAAGAAATATATATAAAAATGAAACATAACCAAAATGGAACATCAAACATTGAGAATAACATAACATAGTAAGCTATCATCATGGCGGCTGGAGGTCGACTGACGTTTTTTCATATCGCCACGAGATGGCGTTTAAATAAAATAGTTCGGTTACAGTTCATGAGTTCATGGCGTGAATAAAATAGTTCAATTACACTTAAATAGGTCTGTTACATCCTCCCCCTCTGACTTCGTAGACGTCTCGGCAAGAAGTCAGGAACTGACCTTTGTCTACTTTGTGCAGCGGGCGGAGAATCAGATGGATGGGCTCCAGTTTGACGAGGAGTAGATTTTGCGTCACCAGCACCTTGTGCAACAGGTGCAGATTCGGATGGTATTACACGTTTCGGGCGTCCTCTTTTCTTTAAGGGAACCACTGGAATTACACGAGCTGAGTTTTGCTTATTTCGATCTTGATATGGTTTCAAGGCTGAAACATGATACTTGCCGAGAATTTTGTCTGGTTCATGAGGATCGGCAATATCATAAGTGGTTGGAGATCTTGTAGTCACTATCACATAAGGACCATCTCTCTTGGGCATGAATTTAGCAGTTTTCTTCAGTGGACCTTTGCTGATTGGGTGGAGGGTGACCCAAACTTTATCTCCAGGAACGAATTTCGGTGTTTCTCTTCGTTTTTGTCAGCATATCGTTTCTGCTTATCTTGATGCATTTCGACTCTTTCTCGTACCTGTTGTACATTTCTTGCAAAAACGTTTCAAATATGGAGTAATTTCGGGAACAAAATTATCGTTCTCAATTACGGCTTTTATATCATGCTTTACATCATCTAAGGTTCGTAACTCTCGTGCAAATTGAAGAAAAGAAGCAGAATGTCCAGTTGAATCACATTTGGCTGTATTCAAAGCAAACCTTATTAATGGCAGTTTATCCTTCCATGACTGATGGTCGTTACCAACAAGTATTGCTAAACGTGGTTTCAGATCTCTATTCTTCCTTTCAACTGGGTTAGATTGTGGGTGATAGACAGGAGTAAGACTTTGATCAATGTTCAAGATATAGCATAGTTGTTGCATAACAGCACTAGTAAACTGGGTACCATTATCACTTATTATTTTCCTGGGTAACCCAAATCGAAGGGCGACTTCCTCCAAAAGAATAGTGGCACATTCTCTGGCCGTGGCTTCCTTTAAAGCAAATAGTTCTGTCCACTTCGTAGCACAGTCCTGCACAATAAAAATCCATTTTTCACCAGACGGTGTTTCAGGAAGGGGACCGAAAAGATCAATTGACAAGGTTTCAAAACGTTGAGCATAGACTGGAGTTTGAAGTAAGCCAGATGGCTTTTGATTAGTGGTTTCTCCCCTACTTTGAAGACAGTGTGATATTTGTTAAGCAATGCATCAGTTGCAAGCCGTTGGGCTGTAGTTAATTGCTGTCCTTCATTTTCTCGTAGTTCGGCAGTTGTTTACAACAACTGGGGTTTCTTCCAGTACTTGGGATTGATGAGGTTTCACGAAGCTATATTTTCTTCGAGGTTCATCAGAAAAGTTCCACTTATTTTCAGCAAGATTTAAAACAATTTTAGCTTTTTGAAGAAAGTCAAGTTCCTAACAGAGTCGAGTTATTTTTGGCATCAGGCAACACAAGGAGCGGAGTTTTGAACTCTCTGCCTTCGAGAAGAATGATTTGTTCGGTGCGAAGTACCTCTTTTTCAGATACCAAACCATCAGCGAAAGACACCTGTAGTGTTGTCTTTTCAAATACTGCATCTTGTTTTTGCAGAATATGATAGAGGGATTCACTTGCAATTGAGTGACTAGCACCAGTGTCGGCGAAAGCTGTACCGGAAACACCACCAATACTAATTGGAAATACAGCAGTCCGAGTGGAAGATAAACAGGATCGGATTTGGATAGTGCCAAAATTTGATGAATTTGAAGTCTTTGGGGGGTTACAGTCTGGACATTTAGACTTGATAAAACCAGTTTTTCCGCACCCATAGCATGTTAAAGGAGGTCGTCGCTTTTCCTCTGTTTGTTGCTGAACACGATTTGAAAAGGTTTTATGAGTTCCCTGTATGTCACTTGTTCGATTTTCTACTTTGTGTTTGGATGGATTAGTCGGTTTGTAAGAATAGTTCCGCCTGCCAGGAAGTTCAGTTTTATAGTTCGTATTTTTAACACGTACAGCTTCATAATCATCCAATTTCTGTACTAATTCAGATGAACTCTTTATTTTTCCCCAAGTATCAATAAAATGCTCCTTAACGTCACTACTGACTCTCTTCTTTTAAGCTGATCCGTCAGGACCAAGTCTTTGAGTGATTCAAAGTCTGTAACATCGAGACTATGGAGCCACTCTTCGAGATAATTGTTTAATTCGTAAGTAAAATCTTTCCATAAAGACCCAGGGGTGTTTTGGTGTGTAGTAAGTTTAATTCGAAATGATTCAGCATTTAATTTGAATCTTTGTAGCAGAATCTTCTTGATGTAAGAATAATCTTCTAATTTGTCTTTTGGTTCTCTTAAAATAATTTGCGAAATGTCTATAGGCAGAAGAGGTAGGAGATGAGTGATGTAATCTATTTGTTTTATATTAACTTTCTCACATTGTCTTTCAAAAATTTGCAGGTAGGTTGCAATGTCAGAAGTTCCTGTAAATTTAGGGATTAGGTGTTGAATATTTGTTCCAATAGCTGCATTTGAAGCAAAGGCGGCATAGTTAGGGTTTGAGCTAGCAGCTGCCAGGTTTAATTTTAAACGTTCCAATTCTAATAAAAGTTCTTGTTCTTTTCTTTGACGTGTCTCCAGATCGTTGCTTTCACGTTGTTTTTGTTGTCTAGTTTCGATTAAAGTTTCCAGAAGATTCCTGGTAAAAGCCTCATCATAAGTGTCAGAATTGACAATAAGATCTTTAAGATCTATTACTCGCATAGTGTCGTTTACAGTGAAACCCAGTTCTGCAGCGAGAGTTTTTAAATCCTCTTTTCGTGCTTTGGCAAGGTAAGCCATAATTATATGAGAGGTCAGGGGGGAGGGAAAAGATGAAGTTGAATTTGTTGTTATTTCGATTTTATTCACAATACAG